AAACCTGCGGTAGCTCCCTAACGACTCAATTTAGCAGGAAAGTGAATAGTACGTTTTTTATGACCACTGAGCTCTTCTAAGCAGTGGCGTGCTGAGAAATTTTCTATCAATCGTTGTTGGCTTTGTAAGAAGATTTTTTTGCAAACAAACCGCTTTTGTCATTTTTTTTTTGAAAGATTTCGTTTGGGAAAAAAGTTCAATGTGAAAATCGTGCAAAACCCTACGCGTTTGTTGGTTTGGTTCAAAAATTTAAATTGTTTTTTTCACATCTTTTCCTTCATTCGATGTTCGATATAGACAGAATACCCGTGAAAGTGGGTTGGTTTGTTTCGCAAAAAATCTCCTCCGACTGGCTAAAGGCGAAAGAACGAAAACTTTGTACAGGCTCTTATGGGGAAAAAATCTCGCTTTGTACTTTCTGAGCGGCCTGATCTTTTATGAAGAATACGTTCGGGAGAAAAAAAATTTTATTTGTGTGTTTGACCGATATATTTTTGGCCGAAAAATGAAATTTATTTTTCAGAAATTTTTCCGTTCCACGATGTTCCATGCGGACAAAATTAATGCCAAAGTGGGTTGGTTTGGTTAGCAAAAAAATTCCCCGTCTTGCTAAAGGGGCATGAAGAAAAACTGTTGTCAGGCTCGCTTGGGGCCTGAATCTTCAAAGATATTTTCCCCATAAAACCACAAATGCCCATCAAATGGGTTTATTTACACGCTCTGAACTCTTTTCGAATATTTCTTTAGATTAAATAGCAAAAATAAAACACACTGGAGGTGCACAAAAATCCCCTTTTTAGTCCAAAGTGAGGCAAAAATCCCGCTTAGTACCTTTTGAGTGGCCCGAGCGTTTATAAAGAATAACGTTTTTCGCTAGAAAGCTTCGTTTGGGCGGAAAAACAATGTGAAAATCGCCCGAAATCCTAAGCGCTGGCCGATTTTTTGGTCCAAAAGTGCAATTTTTTTCCAAAACTTTTCCTTCCCTGGGCGATTTACATGCACGAAGTTCATGCCAAACTGGGTTGATTTGTTTCGCAAAATCATTCCCCAGATCAGCTAAAAAGGGACTAAGTTTGCTTTTGCAAGGGGGGCTGAATTTTTATTCACTGTAAAACCCCAAACATTCCCACCACACGGGCTCAATTTCAGCCAATTTAAATTGTCAGAAATTTTAAGAAATTTTAAATTTGTCAGACTTAAGTCTGATTATTTCTTAATAAAAATAAAAAAATAAAAAAATGAAAAAGGCTTCCGAATCAGCCAATCCAGAGGAAAAGTGAAAACCATCAATTAAAAGAATTTTAGTTTTTAATTGAACGAATTCAGTAGCTATAAACTTGCGACCAACTGAATAACCCTGAAAATTCCTCTATCGTTTTTGGTTTTAAAGATCAAGTTTTTCGCATTATTTCAAAAACGGTTTACCCTTTTAAAAAAATCCTGATAAGCCCGAGGAATTGGATTTAAACGATGGGGGCAAAAGTCTTAAAAGCCGCCATTCTCAGCCTCAAAAATCACCCTATCGACCATTAACCCAGCTAAACACCCCATTCTTTTGCCAGCCCATGAATAAACCTACTAACCCCTTTACTTTAACTAAATATACATATCAAGAAACCTAGATGGGAGGGTGTGCGGTAAGCCGAGATGGTAAGACGCAACTGTTGTATACTTGTTTCATTGGTTTGTGATAATCAGTATTCATTCCATGTAAATATGATACGACTAGAAGAGAGTTTATAACATTGTACGATTTTTTTTACTTTCGAAATGCTTCCAATCGTGAGGGAAGTTCGATTAGGTGAGTGTTTCGTTCCATGCTTATCCCCAGCTGTAAATATAAACCAGCCTGGTTGGGCAGGGATGTGGTTTGATGGATGGTGTGTTGAATGGGTGTTTCTGTTGCAGCTTTAGCGACATCGCCAACGACATCTGGACCTAGAAAGAGACTAAATCCTATCCAGTCAACTCGATAATAATTAAGTGTTCACTTTATTGATGTGTTCATTTGTTTTTCCTCTATAGTACACAGTACGTGATGTTGAGAGATGGCTTGTATGATTTTAAAGATATTTTTTTACCGTATGTTCTCAACATTAACTGTATGCTTTTTATGATTATGATTATTATTATAATGTACGCTTAAATCTGGATTACAGTGTCGTGTATTCGTTCGTTTAGTTTCCCAACTGCCATTGTTTTTATACACCCCATTTTTATACGTTGTATTTCTTAAATTATTAAGCACTTGTATAGTAAGGAAATTGTGCCATTGTAGAACGTAGATTAGAGCCAGATGAATACGGTCCATTTGTATAATTTTACAATTCTAGAATTTAATATAGTCTTAATTTATATGGTGCTATTAACAATGTATTACGCTAAAGGTACTTCGATCTAATTTGTCTGTATTCTTAGGAACTGGTGATTAAACTAGCAGCAGGTTACTTTCCTCGTTCGGTTCCGATTCTATTGAAAATAAGCTTTATCTACCTACCTACCAACCATGTGATTATGCGAAACGAAACCTAAACGTATCAACTATGGTGATTAATTAAACAAGATGATATAAAAATAGGACATAAGGATTTTGTAAAACGCTTTAGTCATTTCATTTCACTGTGCATATGGTTAAAGGGCATGCTCTAAACGCGACACATGTTGCTGATCGATTAATTAACTTTGCTGTTTAAAATTAACAAAATTATATTAAAGTGCATTTTCAATAACAAGAGACAATAAATAAATAATGTATGTATAACAGTGTTTTTTTTWATTATTTTCCTTCAATGTTTTGGGCTTYTCAGAAGAGGTTGGTGTCCAGGTCGTTTGCTGAAGAAGCTTGCTTTTCACACCGTTATATAGAAGAAACCCTGTTCKATTAATCCTGCAAGCGTCRGTTGCGTGGCAAATTTCCACGTTTCTTGGGATTTGTTCAAGTTCGACCTTTTTGYACGTTTGTAAACAATTTTTCAAAAATTTCTCATTCAAATTCAGGATTAGTTGAGGGACTGCTATCGACGCGACTAGATGGAGAAAACGTCCCTCTATTCATCTTAGAAGATTCGCTTTTGTGACAATTTGGCACAATTTTTGGGATTTTTTTGCAGTTGAAAGTTTCAACASGTTCTAAGCAATTTTGAAAAATTTGTCACTCAMATTGAGGTTYAGGAGTRGGRCTGCTTTTCRCACCAWTAGTTGSAGGAAATGTTGATCTTGTCATYCWRYRAGTGCCAATTTTGTTGCAATTTTYCAAAATTCTTGGCATTTTTTCGAGTTTGWAGCTTTCAGCACGWTCCTCRGTTATTTTTCAAAAATTGAGTACTCAAATTAARGATCAGCTGGAGGGCTGTTTTTGATATCGTTATATGGATAAAGTGCCACTCTTGCAATGCTCCAAAAGCTGATTTTTCTTGAATATTTTCCATTTGTTGGATTTTTTTAGTTTGACAGTTTTCGCACGTTTGTAAGCAATTTTTCAAAAATTTCGCATTCAAATTCAGGATTAGTTGAGGGAGTTCTATCGACCCGACTGGATGAAGAAAACGTTCCTCTATTCATCTTAGAAGTTTCGATTTTATGGCAATTTATCAGTTGAAGGTTTCAACACGCTCTAAGCAATTTTGAAAAATTTGTCACTCAAATTGAGGTTTAGCAGTACGGCTGCTTTTCACACCATTAGTTTGAGGAAATGTTGATATTGTCATACTGTAAGTTCCAATTTTGTTGCAATTTTCTAAAATTCTTGGCATTTTTTCGAGTTTGAAGCTTTCAACACTTATTTTTCACAAATTGAGTACTCAAATTAAGGATCAGCTGGAGGACTGTTTTTGACATCGTTATATAGATAAAGAGCCACTCTTGCAATTCTCTAACGTTGATTTTCTTTGAACATTTTTCATTTGTTGGAATTTTTTTTAGTTTGACAGTTTCTGTACGTTTGTAAACAATTTTTCAAAAATGTCTTATTCAAATTCAGGTTTAGTTGAGGGACTGCTATCGACGCGACTGGATGGAGAAAACGTTCCCCTATTCATCTTACAAGTTTCGCTTTTGTGACAATTTGGCACAATTTTTGAGATTTTTTTAAAGTTGAAGGTTTCAACATGTTCTAAGCAATTTTGAAAAATTTTGCTTTTCACACCAGTAGTTGCAGGAAATGTTGATCTTGTCATCCAATGAGTGCCAATTTCGTTGCAATTTTTCAAAATTCTTGGCATTTTTTCGAGTTTGTAGCTTTCAGCACGTTCCTCGGTTATTTTTCAAAAATTGAGTACTCAAATTAAAGATCAGCTGGAGGGCTGTTTTTGACATCGTCATATAGATAAAGTGCCACTCTTGCAATTCTCTAACGTTGATTTTCTTTGAACATTTTTCATTTGTTGGATTTTTTTTTTAGTTTGACAGTTTCTGTACGTTTGTAAGCAATTTTTCAAAAATTTCTTATTCAAATTCAGTTGAAAGTTTCAACACGTTCTAAGCAATTTTGAAAAATTTGTCACTCAAGTTGAGGTTCAGGAGTCCGGCTGCTTTTCACACCATTAGTTGGCGGAAATGTTGATATTGTCATCCTGTTGCAATTTTTCACATTTTGTGGCATTTTCTTAAGGTTGGAGCTTGCAGCACGTCTTTTAGCGAATTTTCAAAAATTGACTACGCAAATTGAGAATCAGTTGGAGTACTGTTTATGTCACCATTTAGATGGACAAAACGATTTTCTTGTTACTTTGTCAGCGTTGATTTTCTTGCAATATTTTTCATTTCTTGGAATTTTTGTTTCTTTGATGGTTTGTAAGCGATTTGACGTTTGTAAGCGATTTAAAAAAATCAGGCACTGAAATTGGGGACGAGTTGGAAGTTTGACATTTTAATAGATAAAATTGGGTTCTTATCATCATGCAAGTGCTAATTTCGTAATATTTTTTACAATTTTTTGAGTGGAGCTTTCAGCAAGTTTGAAAGCGATTTTTCAAAAATTGAGTACTCAAATCGAGGATTAGGAATAAGACTGCTTTTGACACCGAAAGATCTAGGCAATATTGCCTTATTAACTGTAAACTAAAAAAGTCTTGGATTGTCTTCAGATATTTCTCAATTTTCAGTATTAAAAAAGTCCTGTTGAAAGTATTCTATTTGAAAATTGGTAAACATTTTTTCAAAAATTTCTCACTAATAATGTGGTCGAGCTATAGAGCTGCTTTGAGCACTACTTAGAAGATAACACTTTGCCCCCTGATTGCTGGGATTTGCAATTTAGACACACTTTTCCTTAACTCTTGACCATTTTTGAAGTTGGAAGCTTTGAAATGCAGTTTGGCAGCCACCGCGTTTGTTGGGAAATTTTCGGAAATATTTCTTAAAATGAGACTTTGCTGAAGAGGTGTGTTCAGCACGGTTTAATAGAATTATGTTTACTCTATTGCTGCCACAAAAATGGCGTAAGTCAGTTTTTTTCCCGATTATTGAGAATCTTTTAAGTTAGAAGCTGTAATCGATTTTCACAAAAAATTTGGAACAAAAATGAAACTAGTTAGAGAAGTTTTTTTAGCATCCTGTTATAGAGCAAACATTGCTCTATTACTCCTCCAATTATCAATTTAATCGCGATTTTTCCTGAGAATTTTCCTTTAGATTGAAGCTTCAAAGTGCAGTTTGGTTTCCATCAAGTATAGAAACGACGTTCCTAAAAAAAGATTTATCTGAAAAATTGGATTTAGAATGAAGCTGTAGTTAGCACTATTAATAAGAGGAGACTTTTGCCTAAAAACATGGCAATTTTTAATTTAATCGCACTTTTGCTCAATTTTGGAGATTTGGTTTGAAGCTCCCGCCACGTTTGTAAGAGATTTTTCAAAAATTCGTTACTAGAAATGAGAATTCGCTAAATGACTCTCGTCAGCACTCTTCAATAGCAGAAACTCCGGTCTATTAATGCTGCCACTATCGATTTACTCATATTTTTCCTTAAATTTTAACAAGTTTCTTAAAATTTGGAGCTTAAACGTGCGGTTTGGCTTCCACCACTTTCGAAGCAACTTTTCAAAAATTATAACTCATAACTCAGATTAACTGGAAGGCCGGTTTAAGCACTACTTAATCGAAAAAACCCTTGCGCTTTTTGTTCTGCAATTTTAGGTTTGTCTATGAAATTAGAAAAATTATCGTCGTTTTGTGTAAGGGTGGCGCAAGATTATTGCAAAATTTCATGTTTTTGTCCCGTTTTGCATGTTTCTCGGAAGCAAAATGAGCAAGAACGCTCGTTTTTACATCATTCCAAAGAAAACTAAATGGCCTTTTTAGAAAGTGAACCA